AAAAGACTGCACATAAAAAGACAATGTGATGATGAAAGGTTGGGGTAGGGGGGAATTGTCAATCTAGATTTTTTCTGTTAGAAAATATTCTTGAAAAATTGAGACAAAACAAAATAAATTTTGGACTAAAAAGCTGAAAGAACTCAGTACTAGATATTTACTTTACAGAAATATTAAAAGTTCTTAAAGCTAAATATGTATATATGTATATATATATATATATATCATATGAAAATGTGGATCTAAAAAACAAGGAAGAGTTCTAGGAAAGGTAAATATGTAGCTAAATCTTAAAAATTCTGTATTCATATCTTCATTTCTTTAAAAGTATTTTATTGCTTCAAAAAAACAATAAGGTTGTATTACAGAATCTGTAACATATAAAAGTGAAATATGTGACAGTAACACAAATGATGATGACATGGCAGTAATCTTTGTACGCTTTTTAAGCCAGGAGATATTCTAATATCATGTGAGTTTGGATTATAAAGATTCATACTGTAAACTCTGTTGAAACTATTTAAAAATTAAAACAAAGAAGTGTAAATGAGCCATTTGAAGAAATTAATAAACAGTAAAAATAATTTTAATCCAAAAGGTTATGGGATTGCAGAATTAAACAAAGAACACATGGGAAAAATTAAAAACAAAGAGCAAGATAGTAGCCTTCAACTCAGGTCAGAATAACTATAGAAATAAACTAAATAGAAATAAGCTAAATAGAAAATAGAAATAAACTAAACTCACCAATTAAAGGACAGAGGTTGTTAGATTAAATAAAAAGCAAGACATATAGTGTGCTGTTTATAAGAAGTGCACATTAAATCTAAAAACATATTACAAATAAAAATGGAAAAGAGATACTGTACAGATACTAATCATAACAAACTAGAATGCCTCTATCAATAAGAGACCAAACAAACTTTAGGACAGGAGAATATCATGTGAAGAGGGGTGTTTCACAATGATAAGAGGGCTAAATTATGAAGCAGCTTTAAAAGGCTTGAGTCAAAAGCTAACAAATTAAAGGGAGAAAGGGAAATGCACAATGTAGCTGAAAGTTTTAAGACTGTTTCCCTCAAAATTGAAAGAAAATCAGAAAGGCTATACATTTAAAGACACTAGCAATCATCTTAACCTATTTCACATTTGTAGACATTTCAGCTTGTAACTTTTGGAATAGCAGTTTTCAAGTGCACATTAAATATTCACTAAGATTTACAATGTGTTGTTATATTAATTGCAACAAAATTTGAAAGACTTAAATCATACAAAGTATATTCTATAACTACAAATGAATTAAACATCAGTAACAAAAAGATAATCAGAAAATCCTTAAGTACTTGGAAATAAAGCAACATGTCTCTTGTAAGCTAATTTTCTATTGAGAAATTGAAACTAATGTGAAAAATTATTTTCAAAGGCACAAGAAATAAAACCATGTTCTTTATATACCATTGTAGGAGCATGAAAACAGAATAAGGCTTTGAAATTCTGGGAAGAAATACACTGTGGTGATAGCTTGTGAAGTTGGTGATTTCTTGTTTGTCATTTCCTTTTAGAAAGACAATACAGGCTGCAGTTACTCAGGGGCTTTGTATATTGAAAAAATAAAACCCACTATTTTGAGATCTTTCCTACAAAGAATAGAAGCATTGAAGAATCACACAGTGCTGGGACAACCAAGAATTTATTACATGCATTTGAATTCGTATATGTTTGTGTGTGTCTGATTTCACAGAATATACAGCCCTTGTAGCGTACACCATATTGCCAAGACAAAAGTCTCTAAAAACTAGAAATTGATACTTTGAATAAGTCACCCTTCACCAGTCAACTCCATGCAAAATTTCTTGCTAAAAGTAAGCAGCATAAACTCACTTATTAATCCAAGCAATGAACTAAACAGAGCTGCCTTTTTTCTCTCCGATTCCTCTCTTTCATGTGCATTCATCTTAAGAACCCATAATTATAAACATTTTAGGTCAAGAGTTCTTTCTACTGGACTAGAGTCACACATAGGTATAAAAGGATTAGAGATCAAGAAAAATGTCAAAGAAAAAGGATTTTAAGAGTAGATGATATCACCAAGATAATGAAAATAATATTTTATAAAGGTCAACTATAATTCACATAATCTGCTTATTGGTAGTAGATAGTTCATACCCTTTTCCAAAATTTCAGAAGATGTATCACAGCATTTATATGACTAATGAGTTATTTATTGAGGCTTATGAAAATTGGAACCTTTATAAATACCAGCTAACCCAAAAAATAATTTCTGTTTTCTCTAGCCAAAAGGGATTTGTGAAAGTTTTGCAATCTTTTTCAAGAATCATCCCAACTATACACCCAGGAAATCGAGTTATTAAATACAGATAGCAGTTTCCAGATATTTATTTGTTGAATGATTGTAAATGATGAAAGTGAAGATTGAATATATGTGTGTAGGCATGAATGCATTTGCATGTGTTTATATTTTCATCCACACACATATGCGTACTGTTATTGATGAGTACTTTCCAGGAGGCCTGACCTCAGGCAGAGAGTATCAAAGCAGATTGACTGTGATGGATATGAAAAATATGTCTTGAGTAAGGACCTGCTTTCCTGGGACTCTGTTTTTGAAGGAGGTGGGTAGTGATTCCTTATTAGAGCTGAAGGTGCAGCCTGCTAGAGTTCAGATGAGCAAAAATAAATGAGAGGGGTCCCTGAGGCAAAGTGGCCGGCTCACCTACATAACTCCCTGGGCCTGAAAAACTTGTCATTCACGATCATACGTAGGTGTCACCCTCAGGTCTTTCCAAAATATGAGAGGACCTGGTGTCAAAGAAAATAAAGCAGGTAACAAAAATAGTAGTTATTAACTCTAAAAATGTTTTTTTTTAAGTTGTATGATTAAGACGGAAGATATTCATAGAGTACCCCCTGGCTCAGTTGTGTATAACGCATAATCACAATAAAGGAAGACAATGTGAACTGAAAGGAAAAAATAGTAAATGAGTGATGACAGAAGATGAAGTGGGGGAGTGAGGTAGACAAGTGAGCTAAAACTCTTGTCTACTGTATAGGAAGTGAGTAGATAGTATCTAAAATTGACGAATCAAAAGGAATTATTTTTAAAAATACAGAAAGAAGTAGAAACTCAGCTAATACATAATTAGATGAAGGGTGACAAAAGAACAGACTGCTTTGTATAAAATGTTTCAGACTGTGTGGCTTATAGTTGCACGTAATACCTGATATATTTTTAACTGTTTCTGAAAAGTAGTCTTTTTCTAAACTTGCCCACTTGCCCACCATGAGCGTACTGTGTACTAACTGTATGAAGTAGATGCCCCATGTGTGCTTCCCTCCCAGGCTAGCAGGATGGTCTTACCTGTATCTATATCCCTGAAGCCACGCCCAGTGTCTCACACCTGATAGGTGCTACACATACTTAGGGAAAAATGAGTAAATGTGACTCCTAGCGGGATGAACCAGCTGAAGGCGTGGGATTAGTGTATATTTAAATCTTTTAGGACAAGAAACTACATTTAGAAAACAGTAATAATGCTAGTGTAATAATAAAATCAAAGTTATTATTGAATACAAACCCTAACACCTCCATCTCTTATCATCTGGGTTTTACCATGTTGTCGTGTTTATCCATATGGCATATCTATTGGATTTGTTCCTTACATTCCAGTTCCTCTGTGAACTGTCTGGCAAACCCTTCTCACTGCATAGTGGCTGACTAAAGCTATCTTTCTGTGCCTTGTGATCTTTATTCTGTCAGAGCCCATCCCATCGCCTACAGATTTCCTCTACCACTCCAGAATATTCCCAACTTCCCTACACTGCGCTTGTGTGTATTCTGCTTTCAAGATTCACGGAAACACTTGTCTATAAAACCCACATCCGCTTCCTGATTCTCCACTTCCTCCAGAATCAGCCTCACTGGGCCATCACATGGGACTTCACTAGCTCACCCTCCTGTCCACATGACACTCAGCCCTACCTCTTACCTTTGCTTTGGCCACGCTCTTTTCCTCCCAAGAGACCAAAGCATTCTTGTAGTCTGACAATATAATTTTACTGTTGAGACATTGCAAAAAAAAAAAAAAACTTCCTGTATTTAATCAATAATTTCCTACAATCTCTTTACTATTACACTGTGGAAACAATCTCAGGCCCACCTCCATACTAACATCAACATTCCTTCATAGGAAAGGTGTGCCTCAAATTACGTAATGGACCTTAAGTAAACTGTGCTTCTAAACAAACAAAAGAGTCCTGATATTCAGAGTAAGCACATACAATTTTAATACTACTTTTGCTTTAATTTCAAAAATTCTTTTTTCCTACTTTTGTCCTATAGTCTTAACTAAATAGTTTCTCACTGAATGACTATTTTCCCTTTAATTCCCTCAGACGATTTACAGAATATTTTTGGTGTAGTATTGAGGATCTAATTGTTTAATGAGCAGAAACTACTCCCTGTAAGAGTACTTTAGAAATGGCAAATACCAGGCGTAATTGCAAATTCTTCAGAAGACTCTATTTCTGTACAGTAGGTTAATTGCTTATAAGTAGACAGCACTGGCTACAGTTTAAGCCCAGCTTCTAATTTCATCCATGCCCCTTTTTTTCATCAAAGATAAGTGGATAATTGTGATCAAATTAGTCCCCTTGAAGGAACAACTGGCTACTTATCCCCGATTTTCCAGTTCTAAGTGATCCAGTGCACCTACACTTACCTTCCCACCAGCATAATGCCTACACTTATTTCTCAAAGCTGTCTCAGGGAAACTCTGTAGTCAGATGATGATGTGTAAGGTTATGGTGATTTTAAGGGAATTTTTAAGAAAATTTAAGCGAAAACAGAGATAGGAAAATACTGGTTTTGTGCTGATTGATCTAGATGACTGCCTCACTTCTCTGGACTTCCTTTATATCGTGGCTTATTCATTTCTGTAATGGCGGAGGTCCTCACTCTCCTTTGCTTCTCTGGATCATAGTGGTGCAATCTGTGCATCGACTTGGCAGCGTTCACCAGTGAAATATTCAAGGGGGCGGTTTTCCAGTCACTGGATGGCATCGTCGTCTCAGCTAACTGCAAGCTACGGAAGATCTTCACCTTAAGATCAAAGCCTCAAGACACTGCTGATAAAGATGGTATGTTTTGCTGTCAAGTTTTTAAATTCTCTGATGTATTTTTAAAATTAGCCATGCCTTTCAGGGAGCATAGTAGCAATTTGATTTTATGTCTCCTAAAGTAAATTTTACTACAATCATGTTGATTTCTTTATTCTGGACCAAGTGGTTATTTTTACTACAGCTGAACACCATAAAAATGTATTAAATTTTCTTTTTGTGATTTTCTTTTTTGTTGTGATAACACAACAAAAGTTAGGATTCTTAGCTGCAAACAGTAGAACACTCTCGGTGATCGAAAGAGAAGATGAATTTATGTAAGGATGTCAGTCCACTTACAGAATCTCAACTAGACCGTCAGGTGTATAATCTATGCCCCAAAACAAATCCAGCCCTTACAACAAAGCTGTTCCAAGAGGGCATCCCCCCCTTAGATCCTTCAACTACAAGGAGACCCAACAAGTCACACCATCATACAGTACTGGGCTCTAGGTTCCAGAATTTCTATTACAAATGCCCCTAAAATTAGGATATCTACTTCCCTGCCATCTTCATTGGAAGTGCACTTCTTCTTCTTCTTCATTTTTCTCTCTAGGGAACAAAGGGTGGTATATCTACCTGATTTATGGAGACTCAGTTGCATGCTGCAAGGGAGGCCAGTAAAGCACAACACTGATTCCTAATTTGAGAGGCAGGACTTATTGTGTGGGAAAATATTCAAATTAGGGAGTATATGCAAATGATCATGGGAATCTAGTATGCTCTGCCATTGTGCATACTCTTTTCCATTCTCTGTATAAAAAGATGTGGTTTGGCAGCAATAATTTTCTAGTGATCATGTTAAAATAGAGTTGAGTAGTTCCTCATATTATTCCTAGTGAGACTATAAATATATACATTAATTATTCATAATTTGATTGATAAGTATGTTCTTCAGGTAACTCGGCCATCTAGAGTTTATAATGTGATATACCGTCCTGCTAAGATAATTTTTAAACAACCACAAAAGAATACTGATGTTTAATTTTGATGTTTATTTGGGATATTTTTTTAATTCCTCTGGAAATCCAGGAAACAGGGTTGAACACATCAAAGTTGAACACATCTTGGCAGTTTGTCCCTAGATCTTAGACTTGTGCTCCATCTGGATAAGTGTCTGAGAAATCCTTCTGTGCCTCACCCTGTGGAATAAGATGCTATGCCTATAAATGTCATTTCGTGTAGTGAAACACTGCAGTGTACTAACAGCTCCCTAAAGAGACCACAGACAGCAAGGACAGCTGCTCATCTCATACACCACTTACAGGCTATATGCGAAAGTGAAAGGTATCATTTTTAAAAATGGAGCTTAGGGGGCTGGGGATTTAGCTCAGCAGCAAAGCACCTGCCTGGCAAGTGCAAGGTCGTGAGTTCAGTTCCTGGTACTGGAGAAAAACCAAAAAAAAAACAAAACAAAACAAACAAAAATGGAGCTTAGCTAATAAGCTTTAAAATGTCCAGAAATATATCTGACTCTACATCAGGTTAAGGGAGATAAATGATAACCTGCTTAGTATAAATGTAAAGAAACAAGTGGGTCAAACATGGCAAGTTAAATGCATGTTTTAATCTCTGACCCTTCTCTAAACCCAACTAAAATTACAATACAGGAAAAGATATAAAAGATTAAAAAGATGTAAATTAAAAATTAAAAGATAGAGTAAGAAGATATGAATCCATTAGGATGGAAAGTGTGGGAGAAGAAACAACAGACAAACGATGTAGATAAATGTCATAAGCTTAGGGATGATTTAGAAGAGCAAAGAAGGCTGGAACCTTTGGGTTTGCGGAGAGGTTCTCCAGTGGGTTTCAAACAAGTCCGTAAATCAGCCGCCCTAGTAGGGTAGAGGCATGATTGAAAATAGGGAGAGTGGTTGCATTCAGTGAAGGTGGCTATAGGTCCCCAGGCTCCTTGTCTAGCTCCATATAACTAGGCAGCAGGAGACTTACTCTCTGGAGAAGCTGAGCAGAGCGCTTGTGAACCCAAGTACATCAAGGACATGGTAGGTGCCTGAACTAACAGGAAGAAGGAAATAGAGAACACACATTTTTCCCTCAGACTTAATACAAGATGCTACATCTATAAAATAAAAATAATTTGTTCTTGCCTTCAATAAACATTTTATTTTATTGAAGTATATTACGAATGTTATAAATGCTTATGTACCTATACAAACAAACACAAATCCTAAGTGTACAGTTTGAGGAATTACTGAAAAGCAAACATTCCTAGCACCGTCACCCAGTTGAAGTAGAGCATTACAAGCACTTTATAAGCCCTGCTCATGTCCTCTCCCAACCATGACCCTCTCCCGTCTTTTGAGAGGTGGTTTCCATCCTCACTTCTACCATATTAACGTTGTCTATTTTTGACCTTTATAGAAATTGAATCTATCTTGTCATGTGTGCGTTCTTTAACAAAACTTGGTTTGTGAGATTTATTTGTTGCAGTATATAATAGTAATTTGCCAGTTTTCAGTACTGTATTAGGTCAGTGTATAAATAGACCTTATTGTATTTATCCCTTTTGTTATGGATAATGCAGCTAGAAATGTTCTTGTGAAATTCTCTTGGACCACCTGTGTGGGAATTTTTGTTGCTTTTATGTAGAAGTCAAATGATTCATACTTCAGCATTATTAATTTGTCATATTTCTCTCTCTATTCTATGGTTTCATTTTATTCTTTTTCATGGTTTCGGTCCCTCAGATAAAATTCTTAATCTTGTTATTAAATTTTTCACCTTTATTAATCAAAGCTACTGAAAAGCTCATGGCTCAGAACTTCTTTATCTGAATCCTCTGCGAGTCTATTTCTATTGTCTATTTATTTTTCTTGTTCTTATCTCTTGATATGCCTAGGTTGTTCGATTCTGAGTATCAAAAACTACAACAATATTTTGAGGCTCTAGATAATATTCTCTTCCTCTAAAGACAAAAAATTAAAAGGCCCAAAATATGAGGAAATGTTAACAGTACTATAGTGGAAATTAGTCCAGGAAATCTGCTATCAGGGTAATAAGATTGCAAGATGAGAGGTTAGAGAAAACAAAGAAATACAAGATTTCCCAAAACTGAATCAGGGTATTTTCAAACTGATATGACTCATCACTTCCCAGAACAACTAATGAAAAAGATTCTCTGTTGGAATAAATTTTAGAAAGATCCTTTAACCATCCAGAATTCTTAAAACTACAATTTATATACAAATGGTTAGGAATAAGGAAATACAAATTACATTTGACTTCAGAGTAGCAACATTAGATCATAGATGATCTTGAAACTCTACCTTCAAAAATCTAAGAAAATACTTCAACCTAGAATTTTATAGTCACACAACTATCAATCAACTGACTGCAGGATAAAGATACAGTCTCTTAACATTTTATTTACTTACATATTTGCTCAGAAGACTCTGAAAGATATTCTTTATAAAAACAAAAGAGTAGATCAAGAAAAATGAGGAAAACAAGTAAAATGTTAAAAGAAAATGCAAAGGAAATTTCCAGAAGATTAAAACAAACAAGAAAACTGCAGTTATTCTGACTTCTTAACTAAGTGAAAGAATAAGCACACACATGCATGGATAAACTAGGACCATCTTATTTTCAGAATAAAAGCTGACATTTTTACCATACATCAGTGAAAATGAATTTATGGATTATTATCTGTCCATAGACAGTGTTTGGGATACACTGACCTAGTAAATTAACTTTCCAAACTACACCTTGAAGGAAAAATAATTTCCCAAGCAATGAAAAATTAAGTAAAAACTATATAAATACGAGCATGGTATTATGAAAGGATCTTTTAAAATATATTTTATTAGTGCCTAGTAACTTTACAAAATGATGGGGTTTCAACGTGGTGTTTTCATACATGCGTATAACATAGTTTGATCATATCATCCTTTATTGCTTTGATCATATCCACTATCCTCCCTTATGCCTCCCTACCCCCATCCTTACTTAAAGAGATCTTACCTGTTCAAAAACAGGAAGTTAATATGGTACATGGCAGGATGCGAGTAATAATATTGACCTACTTGTCCCCCAACTTTGGATGATATAAAAACATAAGACCACAATTCCTTCCTCTACACGTAGTAATAAGCACTAGGAAAGTTAACAATACCGGAGCTCATCAAAAGTACAATTGCACAAAAGCAAGCAAACTATAATATAGTATAGGGTAGGCTGAGTGCCCCTCGTCAGAGAGGTTGGCAGTAGAAGGGAGATGATGACAACAGTGATGATGGTGGTGGTGATTGCAGCCTTAACTCTTGATAAAATGTAAGCATTGTTCTAAGCACTTTATGGATGTAAATTTATGTAATCCTCATAACACTTTTAGGAGATGGATGTTAAATTAATCCTCATTTAATAGGCAGAGAAGCTGAGGCACAAGAAAGTCAGGTAATATGTGCAGTGCCATACCTTTATTAAGTAGGAAAGCCAGGATTTGAACCCGGTAGTAGGGCTCCAGAGTTTATAATGCTAATAGCTACAATAGATTCACTCATGAAGTGGTAGAAGAAAAGGGAAATAAAAAGCTGTCGTGGAATAAGAATGCCAAGCTTTGGTGACTAGTTATGTTAGAGTCTCTGTATTGCAACAAGTAATAAATGTCCTCTTCTCTCTCTTACTGAAGGGGAGGTTCCTTTATTCTGCAAGGCAGATGGCTCATAGTTTTGAGGCCTTTGTAATAGGAAACTTTACCTGTTCCTTAAATTCCATACTGGAACCTAACTTAAAAGTATGTATTAAATACTTCCTAAGCTCAGTCCTTTATTTTCTTTGGCTTAAACTTCTACCGTTTCATTTCTTAATCTCACCCAGGTTAGGAGACTTTTTCCTAATTCTTTGCTGTTGTATGTTTATACAGTGGAATATAATAGAAAGTGAATTATAGGAACCTTGCCACAAGCAATTAACCAGTTTTTATTTGCCCAGAGGAATGACTTATGCTGGACAAGTAGTAAAGT